TTTTTAATGAAATTCCTTAAAAGATTATTAGAACATAGAAAATCTTGATTAATAATATAAAATATAAGAAAATATAAGGATATATAAAATAAAAGATAAAGATCTTCTATAATATTGAAATAAAATTATAATCTCCTAGACAAAGTCATTCGATTAAAGATAGAAATAAAAATAATAAATTTATAATTTCGAAAATCATTCATAAATTTATTGAATCAAATATTTAGATAATAAGAATATGAAATAGAAGATATTGCTCATCTAAGATAAAGAAATATTCAAATAATAATAAATGACCTCTCATTATAATAAAAATAATTTCATTATAATATATACTATATTATTTCTTTGATAAAGACTTTCGACTTAGGTGGCACGTATATTTCAGTGCAGCTTATGATTGAGCATAGCATAGAAGAAGAATCCGGATGTATCTCTCCTCAAGCAAAAAGCAGAAAACATGAAGAATAATAATTGGCATATTTCCTGAAAGATCAGATATTATAATCGTCATATCAATATAAAATTAATATAATAAAAGGGACCGGAGATAATCATGATAATGATTAATCTGATTAAAGAAATTAATGATTCATCTATATTAGATTAAAAGAAGAATATCAAATCAATATTCTGAAATATACTGACTTCGTATATTATGATTGATATATATATAATGAAAAATCAAATATTATTATTATTATGATAGAGGGGGGCCGGGGACCTCGAATTATCCGAATTATTTCTGAATCATTTTGATTCGGGTCCCGGTCCGGATCCAAGATTTCTGAGAGATCTGGTGCGGATAATGTTGGATCTAGGAATTATTTGAATTATTTCTGAATTATTTTGATTCGGGTTCGGCCCGGATCCAAGATCCAAGATTGCCCAGCGGTCTTGTGCGGGCAATCTTAGATCTTGGATCTGGGCCTGAATCAAAATTATTTAAATGATTCGGTCGATTATTAGATCTAAGATTGGCCTAAGCAGAGCCCTCAGAAATCTTGGATCTAGATCAGAGCCCGAATCAAAATGATTTAGAAATAATTTGAAGAGATTCTTGGATCCAAGATTGTCCATATAAAATCATTAGGCAATCTTAGATCTTGGATCTGGACCGGAGCCCGAATCAAAATAATTAAGAAATGATTTAGAAGATTCTTAGATCCAAAAGTGTCCGCGCAAGACCTCTGGGCAAGCTTGGAACCTGGACCCGAGCCGGAGCCCGAATCAAAATGATTCGGTTGATGCAAATAAAGTTATGCCAAAGACTCCCGCTTTCGGAATCGAAAGCTAATATTTAGAAAAGAAAAATGTGCATATATAAAGAGAAGTTAAAAATATTTAAATATTCATATATAGAGATATCATTTATTTCTTCTAGATTTTTTTAATATGGGACGGCGCCAAATCTATGAAGAAGAGAAAAAGAAAATAAATCTAGAAATTAAAGAATTAATAAAATCATAATATTTTATATTAAAAAATAAAATTGGCCAGGTCAAATATCATTTTATATAATTTATTATAGATTCATCTATGAAATTATAATATATATCTTATCTTAAAAAAATAAATATAAATATATTCAATATATGAAAGAATATTTATGAATATAAATAAAAAAAATAAATATTAATATTATTCCTCTCTAAAAATTATATAATATTTTCTTTCAATATATCCTTATATTTTTTATTTAAGATCTTAAATGTATATATTTTAAAATATATTATATTATTTATTTTTATACTTTTAGAAAAATATGAACTTTAATTTATTATTAATAATATTTTTTTATAAAGAAAAATAAGATAAATTAAATATATTAAAAATTCAAATTTATTAAATTATTTATCAATCTTCTTATTTATCTATAATTTTAAATACAACTAATTATCTATTGAAATCGAAGAATATAAATAAATAGAATAATCTCTATAAAAAGAAAGATATATCCCTATTCGAAATTAGAAATCAAATCAATATAAATATATAAATATTTATATCATCCAATCAATAAGCGGAAATATCCAATCAAAATTATCTCATTTCCTCTATTAAATTAATTATTCGTCTAATCAATCAATCATTCAATTCGATGAATTAATCAAATCAAACCAATCAATCTCAATTCTCCCCGGCCAACAACCACCTCCATCCAACCGGCCGCCAACCCTAAACAATCGAAGAAATAATCCCAATAGATCCAGACACCCATACAGACACGCGCCACGCAGATACACAGACAGACAAACAAACAGACAGAGACAGACAAAGACAGACAGACATAGACAGACAAGGACAGACGGAGACAGAGAGAGACAGAGAGAGATAGACAGAGACAGAGAGAGAGAGACAGACTGAGCGACGGACAGAATGACGGACACAGAGACGGACAGAGAGACCGACAGAGAGAGATAGAGAGATAGAGACAAAGAAACAGAATACTCCACAAAGAGACAGAGAGACAAACAAACAGACAGACACACAAGCTGACGCACAGAGATATTCAGAGAGACGTATGGACAGACACAGAGACACCCAGACACACGCCCACAGAGAGACCTGCATTCAGAAAGCACGGCACTGGAGCTCTAAAACTTCTAAAATTTTAATACCGGGAGAGAAGTGCTCACGGAAATTTCAGAAATTTTTGTACCGCGAGACAAGCCCGCAAGAGGCTTTCAAAAGGAAACACGTCAAAAAAACAAGTTACAAGAGACCAGGGGCACGCACAGAATCACGGGCGCAAGCAGCACGACACTGTTTTATTAGAGAATATTTTCGAATAAATATACATTTTAAATTGGGTTATTGTTCTATGCATACATTTGCTATATTGCATTAAGAATGTTCGAACAATTAATTGTTGCATCATTCCAAATAACCAGATTTTCAGATAATCTATCCTACTATAAACCGGGCGCTACGACCCCATCTATCCTGCTCCGACATCCATTGAAGATCCGAGATCAATCCGATCTATAAAATAATAAAATTCAAGCCGCATGTCCTAAACCTCAATGATTTAATCAAGCTACTCGCCGCTACCCTCCTTACTCATCCCGAATATCATGTACTTCGGACCTCATATATCCAACCCCGTAACATAACACAGAAACCCCAATCAAAAAGACCACCAACCTATATACTGAATGGCCAAAATATTTCCCATTAAACTTATGAAGAATCTTGGTAACTATATTAAAAACAATGACTACATTAAATAGAAAACTAACCTGCCAAAGTAGTCATCATACAAAAACTACAGAAAATCGCAATAGAATGAAAATATCTAGATAGATGTATTTGTTTAGTTTGCATACATATATATATATATATAAATACAGATAAAAATGGAGATACTGCAGAGATTGGTAGGCTTTTCTTCCTGTTATCTATAATCTTAAAAAATGTCATCTTACTGATTATATATTTATGGTTATTTGAAATTAAAACGAAAAAGTAGTTTCAGTAGAGGTATTCAAGAATATGAAAATCATGAGACCTATCAATCTATATATCTGTTCGTATGTATGTTTTTTGAATGACGAGCCGCGCCTCGGCGCAAACCTCAGCCTTAGTGGGAGATCGTACGAAAAGAAAGGTTTCTTCTGCCCGTGGATTGAAGCGCTCTAGAATAACAGATGCAGACGTGATTCGGTAAAGGCTCGAGGTCCGCCTGCACAGGTGGAGAGTTTGGCCTCGTTTTCATGGCGACCGGTGTTTTCGGAACCGGAGGATTGTCTGAAATGGCTTCAGCCTTCCGTTTCGTCAATTCAGCTGGCGTTTGTGGCGCGGGCTTGGAGGCTCTTGAATTTCGAGCCAGTGCTGCTGGTGTTTTGGGTTGGGCAAGCCTGTCCGACATTGCCTTCAAGGCCGCAGGTGTTTGCGGTGCAGGCGCAGGAGCACTTGCAACAGAATCTCTGCTTCTGCTTATTGCTGCTGGTGTCTTGGGCACCATGGTCCCGGACGCAATGCGCGCTGGCGTTTTGGGAACAATATCGACAGTCCAACTCAGGTCTGGCTCCGAGGATGGTGGCGCAGTAGGCGATGTCTTCGGCGTCGGCTTGGCGAAACCAGCAGCTGAGCGCAACCTCAAAAGAGGCACATGCCCAATCCTGCTGCATTCATTGGGACATGACACAAATAATTAAGCCGAAAACACAGCATCTGCAGCTGTATGAATCACGACATTGCCGCATGCATCGGCATCTGGCTGCCAGTGCCTATACAATGTATGTATACAGACGTAATTGCTATTCACATTCTTGCAAGGTGTTTCTCGAGTCGTCATGCGTTAGTGCAAATCATTTGCCGAAACGGCAAGGCATTTGGGCCCCAGCGCGCCCGGGTCTCTCCTTGATGCCCCCCGTGCCCTACTTAGGGTTTTATCTTGCGGCAAGATCGTCGTTGTTTTCTTGCTTTCGCGTGCTTCCGCTCCTCTTGCGTCCGCGTTTAGCTTCACCCTCGCCTTCCTCTGCGTTCTTTCACCTCTGACTTCTTCTGCAAGCTCGTTTCCCCCCCCGGCGACCGTCCCCGAGGCGGCTTTCCTTCGCCAGCTCTTTCTGCCTTCCATGAGTGCTGCATCTCTGTCGTTCCGGCTGTCGCTCTCGGTCTCAGTATTGCCTTCGTAGCTCTCTGCTGATTGCGGTGAAGAACTCGATTCTTAGACGAAACCCCTTACTCCCTCTATCGTATGCCACGAGACAAAGGAATGCAAATTAAGTCCATAACTGCCTCCAAGCCGCGTGCGGCTGTCTGCAGCCAATGCAGGACTGGCCGGGGTATGCGGCCGTAGCGGTGCATGGACTGCTGTATGTACCGCTGGGGAGGCGGCTGCTCGACATGGGCCTGGAGTCTGCGGTCCCGGGATGACCGCAGCAACCGCCGGTGTTTTCGGAGTGACAGAAACTGAATGGACATGGGGTCCCGGCACAGCTGGTGTCTTCGGAGGAGCCACAGCAGAAGCTGGCAACGCCGGCGTTTTTGGCAACGCTACGGCCTCCACACGGGCATAAGGACTAGGAACTGCAGGCGTTTTCGGTGGAGCCACACTCTCGGCGCGTGCGTGGCCAACGGGCAGTGCAGGTGTTCTCGGCGGAGCCACACCTGGCTCCGCGAGCAATGACCTCCCCATATTCGCCCTAGCCACGCCTGGTGCAGGTGTGGTTGGGGGAGGAATTGAATCTCGAGGGAGGCCTGGTGTTCTCGGGGGCGCAATCGACATCGCTGGGGTTGCAGGAGGGGCGACGAATCCGTCACGTGCAAAGAGCTGAGGCAATGCCGGCGTTCGAGGCGGGGCGACGGACGCTGCCTGGGCCGAGGGCGCTGGTGTTCTAGGTGGGGCTACAGGCTCGTGTGCCGACCCTGGAGCCGGGGTTCGGGGAGGTGCGATGGAATCAGTTCTGGCTGCACTGGCCACTGCCGGGGTTTTTGGGGGTGCAGGAGCGAAAGCCGCGAGGGAGCTCTGCAAATTCCCAGAAGTTGCCACAGCAGCGCTGGCAGGGGGTGGTGCTCCACGTGGTCTCTGCAAGCCAGAAGTAAATTGCCGTGCAGATGCGGCTGAACCCGCAGTATCGACTGTATCAACTCGCCCGGTCGCCGTAGAATTGCTGCTGTTGAATGCCGGAGTGCATGGCTGTGCCTCAGCAACTCTGGCTGGCATTGCGGCATCTTCTTCGACGATGTGAGTGGCAGTGAGTCCTGTGTCAATCCGCGACCTTCGCTTTCCACACATCAAGGGATAGGCGTCTGCAAATCACTGGGCCAATACCATCAATCCAGCACAGGCACTCAGTCTCGTCGCTTGGCCGCTCCCCAGCGACAAAGATAATCTTACCTGCAAGCACACCGCATAGTGCAGGCCGCACAAGTTGCAAAATACGGTAGAGCCAACTGGCGGGATAAATCACCGTAGATTGGAGTGCTCGGCGATAAATGCGGGACATCGCTGATTCTTCTTCATACGAGAACTCAAAATTGATCAAGGAGTAGCTGTGTGAAATGGTTTATTCAGCTTCTATGTGACTTAAGGCACGGGAAATCAAAACCCGTCCACCTTGTCGTTTCAACCCCAACCAACACAGCCTTCTACTACCCTTTGGAATTGGTCCACTGGCCCCGTTGAGTTGTAGATCTATCGACGGGGCAACTTGCAGAATGGGCCCTGGTACGTGATGTTTCACACATGCATGGTCTGAACAAGGGCCAAAGGCTTGACAAGTATCAGCTTTGTAGGGTTAACTTTAAAGGCTAACGAATCACGACGTCTCCCGTCTCCCAAATCTGTCTCTTGAGGCTGTACTTTCAACCACTTCGGCGATGCTTTGAAGACTTCCGAGACATGCGAAAGGGGACCAAGGCATTCATGGTTGAAAGGCTTTGTTCTGCTTTTACTTGGTGGCAGTCTTAGATGCTTGAAATTATGGCAGCGGCTGGTGGCTACAGTATGCGTCAATCCTACCCGAACCCATCCCAGAATCTCACAGCCAGGAAGGGCCTTTGTTGTGGCCCTTGCCGTCGGCCTTGCCGCTCCCCTTGCCTCTGCCCTTGCCTTTGACTCGGCCCTTCTGTCGACCGGGGTCTTCTGATGTCCCCTGGCAATGATCTTCGACATCAAGCAAGCACAGATTCGGCTGAATGTTGCTGTGCAGAACATGTCGCCTCAATGCCATCCTGCTCCTTTTTGTCGCTGGCTTCCGCGTACCCCTCCTCCAGAGTATGGCCAGCTAATGGTTCTGTCAGACTCAGAAAGACTCGGGCTTAAGTGCCTATACTTCCCCACATAACCCTCATCAAGGCCCTATCCGGTCCCTTCGAGGGGTACTAAGCCCGCCCTTATTCAGTCCTTGTCTTGCATGGAAGCCTTGCCTTTGCCTGCTCCTTCTGGTCCCTTTGCTTTGCCGCCTTGTCCTTTGCCTTGTTCGCCCTTACCACGATCCTGGCCATGAGGGCCCTGCCCTGCCCCCAATGTTTGGATCTTCTTGGACAGTTAGCAGGATGCAAGCGGTTCCAATACCTGGCCCTAGTTCAATTTCATTACCTGCGCACACGCTGAAGCTGAAGGCGCTAGCGCTTTCCGAACCCGGCCTCGGTCATGCGCTCGAACAACATCTGCGCAAGGCAAGAAAGTCCGTTCCGTTCGACAAGGATTTCCACAAGTCAGCTCAAGCAGCTTCGCTTGCTGTCCTTGCTTTCTTCTTTCCTCGCAAGCCTCTCTGTTTGCTCTGCCTCGCAGTCCACAGGTCGGTTGCAGCCAGCTGGAGCGAACAACGATGAGCCAAGGAGAAACATATCAGTCAGGGAAGGAGAGATTCTTTGCTGGGGTACTCTACCAGTTTACTTTAAGGGTTGCTGAATCCCACCTTTCGCGACGCGCCAGCTAAACTGCTTCTGCCCACTCGTGCACTTTCTGGCACCCAGTTTTTGTTGCCTGCTGCTTCGAGGTGGTGGGTTTCCTATACTGCTGCCTATGACTGTCGAGTTCAGCTCTGCCACACTGAGCATCCACGCCGCCGCACAAGAAAAGTTCAGAGACACTGCACGAGCGAGAATCAATGTGCACCTGCCTCATTGCATTCTTCCAACGACCAATCCTTGTCCTCCGATGTGCTACTGACAGCTGTGACGCATGTGAACCGGTTCCTTTACTGTGAGCCATCAAAGCAGAGAGTGGTTGACCTCAATACTTTCCGGTATCCCGTCCTTGTAAAACTTCGCCTTGTCGATGAAGGTGTTCGCTTCTGCACGAAGTGTCGTTACTAGTCCTGAGCACTGATACTGATATAAGTCCTGTCGGATATAACTGCCTCGCAATGCTTTAAGCAAAGCTGCTGGGACGCTCCGCCAAAGCACATCCAACGAATATCAAACGCCTTGTGTCACTACCTGTCGCACTTGACTCACAGACGGCAATGTTCTGTTCAATGGCAATCGAGCACAGCCTCTCTCTTCATTCTCCATGTCAAAAAATGCCTCAACTGCAGGCCGCATCTCTGTCGCTTGACAGTATATACAGGAACACATGCTACGTAGCCTCAGTCGCACTCAATCTAAGCGGCAACATGATAGCAAAGGCCCTTGCAGTAGTGCTATGTGGTTGTTCGAACTCAGGCTGGGTCATAGTGCCTTAAAGCGCCTCCCAGAGAATCTTCATGCTTGAGCTTCCAAGGTCATCTCAGACCGGTCGTAACCCTCCCCCACCCACCCCTCTAGCCAGCACCATCGCCACTGTCACCAACCTGCCGGCGAAAGCCACATTTGTTTGCTTTCGATCCGAAGGTTTTCCTGTGTTTTCAATACGAAAAACCTTGACCTGTGCCCGAAGAATAGTAATGGTATGTGGAAACGTCACCCGAAACCTCCCGGTCTAGCACCGGATCCAAGTTGCCAATGCACTGCAATCCACAGCGAGCTTTGCCAGCTTCCGTTGCAGCCATGGCAACTCTGCAACAGCAGATGGCACCTGCGACATCATATCGCATCCGACTCAATGCCATACTATCTCCCACAGATGGACCTGCAAATTCCAGATTGAATCCAAGCTCTGAATGCCGCGGATGCGAGGGCCTTCGACCGGAGCATCACGTCGCTTCTCTTGGTCAGGCCACTGATATGAGAGTGCAAAGAAGAATTGACCTTGCATGTGAACGGGACTGCCTGGGGTGTCAACTATTCCGGGCAAGCGCATGTAAATCATGACGGGGTGTGCTTGCTGTGTTTGTGGGAGAGTCGTGTGCCTGTGCGTGGATGGATGTGGATGGGTTCTTTTGTCCGCGCAACACAAACCTTAGCTACAGTCACAACGCAGGTGTGCACAAGGCACGCGGGACATTTGTAACCTGCCCTGTGCAAAGAAGCAACCGTTGTGGACAGGACATCGTACCCTGGACATACTTGCATAAAAACAAGTGAGAACCCAGACTATACTACAATTACCTATGCATGCAAAAACTCGTGAAGCATTCTTCTTTAGTTTCCCGCCTTGGTTGTACATTGTACCGTCGGTTCGGTCTGCTAATGACTTCACATTCACCGGCAACCGCGGCAACCTTTCTTTGCGGCCTACCGAATTATTCGCCTCGGCCCGGCCGAAGCGGCCAAAGGTCTCCGCAACCTTCTGTTCCCCTCTTTGTAATCCCCTCCCCGATGACCCACCCGTCTGAAGGAGCCACCCCACCCCTCCCGCGCCCCTTGCTGCCGCAGCTGTATGCTCATCACCACATCCGAATTTGGACAGTGACATGTACTTCCACGGCCTGCAGCCAGCTGGGTTCATGACCTCTTGTTTCATGAATGCAAACTGCACTTGGATTCAGTATGTGCTGTCTCTCGCATCGCCGAAAGCAACTTACTTACTGCGCAATGGACATTTGACATTTAATGATGAATTACCATCGTCTGTGTCACTTCAATGCCTTGGCTACACGGGAAGATCCCGACGCATTCATTCGTCTTGAGGACCCCCCCCTCATGTTTGGACCGATGTGCAAGACTGCTTGGCCTAAGGATGTGTTTCCCTGCGACACAAGAAAGACGTCCGCAGAGGTGCACTATCGTTTCGTATCCTCACTCCATGGTTAAGAACATCCTCATTGGTGCAGCAGTGCATTTTTTGCATGATCTCGGCAGTCTGGCATGATGGATTGCCACTATCTCTGCAAATTATTTGGAAGCATTAGCACCTGTATCCGGCCCAATTTCTCTTCCGGGCATGTCTTGCGAACAGAAGATCTGGCATATGATTGGCTGTTTCCAATGCAGTTCCCATGCTAACAATAATTGCAATTGCTTTTTCGGACTGTTAGGGTGCCGGGCATCCATCCACATCTGCAGTGCCAAACCCTGGACGGAAAAAACTCACCAAAAAGGCCAGAGGGAGTCCATGCAAACTTCAAAAATTTGCGAACCCTGCATGTTCGGCCGGACTAATCCGTTACCCTACAGTGTGAACAAAAACCTCGGACTGAGCAGACAGGGACAGACGGGCTCTCTTTTGAAGCCGTTGCAGAAAAGTCCGGAGTCGGTGAAACGGACTCGGAAGAAGAGCGGTGCCGACAGGCAAAACGGCCCGGGACAACTTCTTCTGTGGCTGTCAAGCCGGCCACCCACTGACCAAGTGAAAACACAGCTGTGAAATTGAGTCAATTCGATGAGGGTGAGAAACGGACAACACACGTAAGTGCAAGACTGCAGAGTCCAAAGTCCAATGGAAGACCGCGCCGTGAGGTGCGTGCGGACGGATATGCGCAACAGCCCGTAGCCGTGTCTCCAGTTGGCGGAGAAAGGGGTTGGCCACGGCAGAGTCAAGAATGCAACCGACCGCTGCGAGCCAATTTCAACCAATAGCTGCGCACGGACAGTTGCCGTTGCGTCCTAATCCCTAATCAAACACATCAGATTAAACTCGGTATCGCTCTGTCGGACCAGTCCGCTACCCTACAGTTTGACCACAACTCCGCACTGAGCAGACACGGACAAGTCGGATTCTGTTTTGTTGAAGCCGTTGCAGAAAAGTCTGGAGTCGGTGAGACGGACTTGGAAACAGGGCGGTGTCGACACGCAAACTTTTTGTGGCGTGACCCGGACAGGGGAACCGCCCAAATCAACGGCGGCTGAGTTATACTATGAGGCAAGGAAGCTTTGAAAAGCATCCCGAGAGGGAGGCATCAAAAACAAGTGTTCAAAAGATCAAAAAAACTAAGGATCAACAAATCCTGTCCACAGTTTATAAGCGAAATACAGAGGAGGCAGGGTAATACGCGTTCCAAGTCAAAGGCCGTGTTTGCTTCCGGAATCCCGCCAATGCATTGGGAAGAGCATTTCGTCTGTCGAACAGAACCTGCTAGTAGTCGAGAGAAATCTTTCTGGCCGTGCATGAGAATCTTAGCTCCGTGCTTGAAAAGCGCCAATACTTGGGGGAGCACCTTCTGGCTCTGGTCCGGAAAAGCACTCCGGCCGCGCCCGGTGGTGTTTCTTTCTGTTTGCTGGTATATATTTCTTAAGCACGCCCCCTCATTTCGCGATTCCGGTTCATCATATATCTCAAACACGACCCCCCGTTTGACGATTCCGGGTCATCAAAAATCTTAAGCATGCCCCGTCATTTGGCGATTCCGGTTCTTCATATATCTTTAACATGCCCCGTCATTTGGCGATTCCTGTTCATCATATACCTTAAACACACCCCCTCATTTGGCGATTCCGGGTCTGATATATCTTCAACACACCCCCTCATCCGCGATGCCGGGTCTTCATAGAGCTTAAACACGACCCCTCAAGCGATTGCGGCATTTGCAAGCCCAATGTACATCTGTATCACGGGTTCTGAAAGGGTCCATATGGGGCGCATTGTCGCTGGCACGATGATGCTGCAAGGTGAATGCCTGTAGATGGATTGTGAAAAAGAAGCACGGGATTTTGCTTTGCACCAAATTTTGTGGTTTGCACAAGCTATTGCAGGATCAATTCCCAGGCTTTTTGGTTTTGCAGGAAGCTATTGGTGATTTGAAATGTGTCAAGTTTTTCCTTTGCTTCAAGCTATTTCGAAATTCCAATTTGCAGGCTCCCGTCTTGCGCCAAGCTATGGCGGGATTACAATTCCGTGGCTTTTGCCTTGCATCGTGCTATTAAGTAATCCCGATTTGCAGGATCTTGATTGTGCCACGGTATTGAGGAATAGCACACTTCTTATTTGCTACGTATTTCTCTCGTTATTTACTTATTTCTGTCGTTCTTTATATATTTCACTCGTTCCGTTGTTATTTGTTTTTCTTTCGTTAGATTTGTTTCTCTTTCCCTCTGTCCTGCTCTTTCCCTCTGTCCTGCTCTCTATGTTTTGCTCGGAAGAGTCTTTGTTTAATCCCTGGGACCTTTGTCTGTGCTTCACGCTGTTTCTTCTCCCCTGCTCGCCATTTTGCTTGTAATGACAAATAGTTTCTGCGATCTCTGAAACAGTTTTTTGACGTCTAGAACAAACTCTGGAAACTTCATTCCATCTCTAGAAAAGAATAGATGCAGAGGCTGTAATCAACGGTGGGCAGAGGTACACCGTGACTCTGAGGCAAGTAAGCCTTCAAAGGCATCATCTCGAGAAGCGAGCACACGGAGCCCTGCAAACAAAGTCCAATGCAGCAGAACACGCTCCGTATCGAACCCACGGTCGGGCGGGTTAGAGCCACAGCTGAGTGCATCCGCGGTATCGTTGGAGATACTGGGACATGGTTAACATGGATGGAAATCCCCGTCATTCCTCGTCTTGGAGCATAGCGAAAGCAATCCTGGCATAGACCCTGAGCCGCGGACAGCCGACTCCCCGGTAAGCTTTTTTGGCTGTCGTTGCTTTTTCCTTGGTGCCGTCCGTCGCTGGTCCTTCTTTACTCTTTCACGCCTGCCCTCACTGCGGTCTCCCCTGAGGTTTGGTGCCGCTTGTGCGATGCAGTCGATTCCAGCTTGACTTTGCTTGGCTCCGCGTCGCGTCGTCCCGGAGTTCCGGCGGATCAGGGTTCAGTTGTCCTTTCTGGCTCGTTCGTCTGCCGCCTCTCCGACACCTCCTGTGCGGTGCTCCGCGTGTGGATGAATTTGGTGACGTTCGCCTCCGACTGATGGCGTGTGCAGATGACTCCTCTGTGGGTTTGGGTGGCTTCGTTCGTCTCCCGGGCTCCCGTCAGCTTTGCTTCCAGAAAATAGTCTCCCGTGCAGAGCTGTGTGCCATCTTCCCTCGGCTTCCGCCCGGTTGCCTCCCGAAAACTTCAGAGGAGCTCGCTGCCCAAGGAGCTCTGCTTCTCATGCTTCACAACTTCTGCGCGAAGGGCACCTCCCGTGTCCTCCTGCCTTCCGATCTCCAACTCCACTTGGCTTGACCAGCACCACGAAAGCTTGCCGGGGTCCACTCTGACAGCAAAAGCAGTCAAAACCCATCTGCCACCCAACCCAGATGAAGGCCGGGGAAAGGGCGCCTTTGTGCCACGACGTCGGAAACCTGAGGCAAAGGCGCAAAATCACAACCACGGAAGTCGACAGAGCAATCCACGATCCGAAGGACGGATGAGGATCCGCCGGCGGGCTTTAACATCCAAGATCAAGGCCGCGATCTGATCCAAGGAACCGGAGATAGGAGTGCAACGGCAAATCCGAGTAGGATGGGGAAGAGGAGCGGTTGGGCAAGTGTGTGTGTGTGTGTGTGTGTTAAAAGTTACTCCCGAGGCGGAAGAATCAACAACAAGGCAAGGAGGACGGCCCGGGGCAAGAACAACCCCCAAGCATGCCCACGGCCGTGCTGCCATAGCGGCGACGGAGTTCTGCATCGCCACCCGGAGCTTCAACAATCCACCTCTCTTCCAACTCAGATTGGAGTAGCTCGTCCACAACCGCGCGTTGGCAATGGCGGAGCGCCACACCGATTCGCAACGTTGGAGCGGAAAGGTGGTCGAGTTTGGCCGTGCTGATGGCCGGTCTCCGCGAGAAATGGGCCCAGTCGAATTGCAAAAGAAGTTCAAGACTACCCCGATGACACCAGACACCAAGTTGTGCACCAAAGTTCATGCTACCACCGTAGCGGGACACTGCCAGGTTAGGTCCAAAGTATAACCCGCTGCCGTCAACAGGTGCATCTAATTGCAGATTGCTCGGGGTCTAGTACGGCCTGATTTTGCTACTAGCCCAAGTAGCCACCTGTCGAGAAAGGCCATCGCCCTCATCTTGCTGACATGCACTCAATTGGCAGCGGGCAAACCTAGCATGTTTAAGCAGACATCCCGAAGTATGGACAGAGGCCCTGAATGAAGCCATCAAGTCACCAAACATGAGACTGGGCCCTCAGCACATCTGTGAGGCTGTAGGAGGCGACGAGTGGGTGTGTCCAACACGCGCCCGAAATTGATCTCGACCCCGGATTTTGCAAAGGGAGATCTAGGGAACATTGAACGCCCATAGTCCGAGGTTTGCCGAAACATCTGGCGCAAGCGAAAGCGGAGCACGGCCAGATGCAGTTTCCCGTTCGGTTGGCGAGTCCTAGGACGAGATGCATGATACCTGGTTCAAGACGTCCAACTTTCCACTGATGTCTCGGCTTGCCAGGGACGGCCCATGAGAAAAGGGCATGCTGAGGGTGCGCTGGGCTCTGCGGCTGCTGAAAGTGGAATTCAGTTTCCTCTGATGCTTGGGTCTCAAAACCCAGAGCCTGGAGGCCTTCCCTAATTAAGAAATTAACATGAATTGGGGCAGACATGGAGCCCATCACCATGAAAGCCACAGCTACCACCCTTCTCCCTACCCACGGCTCTGTGGCGCGTAGCAGGCCCCGCTGGAGAGTAGGGGGGTGTCCTTGTCAAGGCAGGGTTTAAGGTTTCGGATTTCGGCGATCACACTCGGAAAACCCAGGCGAGGCATATGGTTCGAGGTCTTCAAGCAAGTGAAACAATGTTCGCATGTGGAACCACAAGACACAGACCCTAAGCAGTTAGAATCTGTAAGTTGAGGGGTTCCGCTTGTCGTCATCAAAGTGCACTCTGGTATATTGGCTAGTTAGCGGACTTCAACGGCTACGCCGAGGAGGCTAATGTCGGGGTATAAGGCAACAAGCAAGGCCATATTCAGACTTATGATGAACCGGGACGCTCAGGAAAGGTGTAGTCTCCTCCGAGTCCTTTCGACTTTCGTAAAGCTTGAGTTCACGGATAACCCCTACGAAAGACAGCCAGCGACTAAAGTTATAAGTCACAGGAACCTATGTGACCCAAATGGAACTCAGACAACGTAGTATCGCTCAACCTTAATTGTACGAGCAATTAGTTAAGTGTCCTATGCAGCGAATTGGGCTCTCACTCCAAGCCAGATGTGAAGGAGTTGTTGCCAGACCAACCTGACTTGCTCTGCCTTCAGTCAGAAGGTGGCTTTTTCAGTCGCCAGCTTGGGCTTGCTCTCATCATTGGACAACCGGCAGAACGATTCAAAAGTCTCCTTTCCACGTATGAACCTATTGCATTTCTTGCCCACTTTGAATTTGATTTCGCGCGTGCACTTCATATGGACAGCTGGCCGTGCAGTTTCGTGCAACCCATGAGCTCACAACGAGGCCGCTGTTCTGCTAGGAAAAGTCTCTATGCACGCTCGTGACCTCACATCCTCATAAAACATTCAGGCCGCACCACACTCCAGCCATACTTGCCGCTACCATTCGGGGTGAGGGGGGGGCTATGAAGCGACTTGCATCATACCCTTCCGGTCCAATCCCTGAAAGCAAAACTCCCGACATGACGTAGAGATGACCCAGGACGAGGCAGAGAGGACAAGAAGGCACTACGCGACGCACACGGCGAGGAGAGGAGGACTGAGAAGACACACGCAAGACAGGATGGTTTTAGGGGGCTCTCCTTCACGGGCCTCCACGCCGGGTACGGCAGCCCTTGAGCCAAAATGGCTTGAGCCAAAATGGCTACGGTTTCGGATTTAAGGGTTTGGGGGTTAATGGGGTTCAAGGCTCAGGGGTTTAGGCATGTACTGCTTTGAAAGGTTTAAGTAGGTATTTACACTCCCCGCTTTCCCTCTGTAGCGCTTAGAATGCATGTTTGTGGTGTAATCTAGTTTGGCTGCGAAATCGGTTCTGACCCCCCTGCCAGGGGGGGAGGGCCCCTCAAGTACTTTCAAAAGGGGTTTTTGGTAGGAGCCTTGGATGCTACAAGTTCTTTGTTGAAATACTGTCGAGAGCTTAACCTACAAGACATTTGGGGTGAGAGTGCTGCCGCCCCCCCCCCCCCCCCGCCCCACCCACCCTCCCATAAACAAGGCGACTGCCTTGTGCAGTACAGTGTTCAGCCCAGGCACGGGGTGGTTACGAGGGTTTGGCACTTTCCTGGAGCTTTTGATTCCATTGGTCTAGAGATCAGGCTTGACGTGTTTGCAAGTGGTCCCCTGGACATCCTTAGACGGTCTTCAAGTTTCAGCGACCGGTTTTGTGAGACCTCAGACAAGGCGCTGCTTAGCACGGCAGGGCCGGCTCACGCAGACCGTCTGTGTTAGAAGGTGCAACGGTCTGTTACACAGGTTGCTTCCTAGACACGATGAAGCACCCTCTTTTCCAGATCAAGGGACGAAGCTTTTCATGCAATTTCAGGAGTCTGATTAACCTCAAGAAACTCTGCCAAGAATAGGAAATCACAACAAGAGCAAAGCAGGGGAGAATTCCACCATCAGAATCTGATAGCTCAGTGGGCCGGCAGCCTGTTGCTTATTCTGAAAAAAGGAGCTTGAACTTTGTGGCCATATGTGCCGTGCTACCGGTGAGTGCTGCCAGGAAACCCAGGCGAGGTACTCCCTGCATCGGTCGCGGTGTTTCTTATTACCCGCGAAGAAGGCGCGGCTGGCTGCAATCTCAACACAGCAGCCGGAAGCTCCGGCAAGCCTCGCACAGACATCCGAAACACGGAGACAACACTTTGACACTCGGTGCAGATCTGTTGCTGTTTTCCGATCTGCATGCTCTCTTCCTCGCATTGAACACTGATTGCACCCTCCGTGGCAACAGATCTCTGGCCCTCAGCCCCCAAGTGCAAACAAGCGTCCATCTGCTCTAGCTCTGTTTCGAGCAGCAGCTGCTCGACACCGAGACCAGCGTCCATCTGCACAAGACTAGACACCGACGTTGGCAAAGCTGCATGCGCGTTTTCACTACTTGTCTCAGAAGAACGACCATCACCCAGCATTGAAGGAATTCCTGATGTGCTAGGCCTCCGAGAAGCTCGAGTCCTCCTGCGTCGAGACTCAACTCAGAATTGCTTATGCCAAGAATATGTATGTGTATATATACATATATATATATATACATATGCATGCATGCATATGGGTCGTTGTCAAAATTATGGTCCCTTTTGGGGTACCCTAAATATTAGGTGCCGTATTATAATAAAGACCCAAAAAGGGACCCTAATTTTGACAACCACCCATATACATACAGGTATGGTGCCCCCCCCATGTGCCTACCTTTTTCTTGCCTTTCCTGCCTTGACCGGCTCCCTCTCGAACAGCCCGACTTGCCATGCACGGAGCTCAGCACGTTGGAGAAATCAACAAACTATGAAAAACCATGCGAAAAACCATGAGTCAGAAGCAGGAAACATTGGAAAAACTAACAATCAGAAAACAATCCTTGATTTTCAAACTATCTGGAGGCGTGACACCACCCAGACGGCACAGTCCGAAAAATCATGGTTGTATTGATTTAGGGTCCAAGTTTTCTGCTTCTGACTGAGCGGAAGCATCGGAGAACAAAAAACAATAATTGCACACACGAGCCGAAAACATCGGAAAAACAAACAATAAAAACCATGAGTCAGAAGCAGAAAAGATGGGAAACAAATAAACACTATAAAAACTCTGATGTTGAAACTGTCTGGAGCCCAGCGGCCACCCAGAAGGGATAGGTTGCAAATCGTGGTTTTCTATGGTTTTTATTTGTGTTTCCAATGTTTTCGACTTCTGACCCATGATTTGTTTTTCAAATACTGAGCGGAAACATAGGAGAACACCAACAAAACGTTGGGAAAAAGACGAAAGATTCAATAACAATTGCACACACACTGCAAGCACGAACGTTCGCGAAGCTCACTGATCTGCTCTGGACTCATGAGAGCGCACAACAAGCTGGTTTTGCGCTCAGGCATGGGGT